GATGCCCGTCTTGATGCCTTTGATGGCCGTCTTGGACATTTGAAGCAGTCTGCCGCCCAGACTACTACTCAGCTTGCTCACATTATATCCTTGCTTCAGCTACAGCAGCCTCATCCTCCTCTAGCTGATACTTGACTACGTTCTTTGTTTCTTAGACTGTTTTTCTTGCCTCCCGGCCAAAAGAGGGGAGAATTTTTGGTATACAGTTTGGTATATGTACTCTTGACTATCTTGTTTTGGGTACTTTGTTTTTTTTGGATATAACTGTTACAATTGTTTGTTTTGTGGGCTTTCATATATCTCATATACATTTGTTGTCTTTTATCATCTTATGGAGTTCCACAGTTTTGTTTTTTTATGGTGTGTTAATCGTTGTTTCACAGGTGGATGGTATTTGTGATTGATGGTTCTACATTGTTCAACATTTTCTCTCTATCAAATCAGCATAGTTTTGGTGATAACAGCGTTGTTTTTGTCCGATAGGGTGTGTTCGTAAGTGTGTCTAGTGCGTGTGTTTTTAGGAAAAAATGTTAGTAAAGTTTTATCCGGGAATTAACAAAGGGGGAGATTGTTAGGTCCCTAGTTGCCAAATCCGCAAACAAACTTGATTTAATTGAGTTGTAATTTTTGCCTATGTTTTGGTCTTCCTGCTCGAGCGGGAACATTTGCGCTCGAGCGGAGTTTACACTGTCTCAGTAGTTGGGCTTGTCTGCATAAATACTGAGAAGTGTGTTTTCGCACTCGAGTGTGAGTTCGAGTGCTCGAGCGTGAGACTTATTTAATCACATGCGTTTTAGAGACTCTGCTCGAGCGGCAAGTTATGCGCTCAAGCGGGGTACGCAGCCCTTGTTTTCTATATATATGTGTTTAACTCTTTTTTTAGGGTTAAGTCTCCTAGATCTGTTTTGGGAGCTCTAGGGTTTTGTTTTGGGGCTAGTTTGATAGTTTTTCCGTTGATGCTTGCTTGAGTATTATACTCACATGGTTAGATAATATACATCAAATGGTTGTTTGTGTGATCTTCATCAAGAGTGTTCTTCTTCAATGGAATCCAGAGATCCAAGCGTGGAGTGTCGAAGGAGTTTGATGCTGTGCGTAGTCGTTAATTCAACAATGGATGTTGTAGATTCAACATCGACCTAATCAATTCCGAGACGAAGGTTGTGGTGAAAGATATATAGAAGATTTGAAGACAAATTGAAAGCGCTTGGATAATTTGTTTGGTATCTTTGTAATCTTTCTTTCTTCACTAGTGGATTGATTTGCGACGTTTTGCCCGTGATTTTTTTATCACAGTTGAAGGAGCTTCAATTGTGATTTTTCCGTGTAAAAATCGTTTGTGTCGATTTATTGTTTTCTGAAACAACAATCTAAATCACTTTTGTATGTGCTTGATGATTTAGATTATGAGTTTTAATTGATTGGGAATTGAAACAATTAAATATTAATCTAATCACGAATCACTTAGGTTTTTCAAAAGCCTAATACATCAGAGTCATCATAACGGTAACCCTATTTAGATGACTAGAGATCCCAAGAACTAAGTTCAAAGGAACAACTAAGTTAAGTGTGGCTCGCCAGAAATCACTAAAAGAGTCTAACTCCTATCCATTCCTATGATGAGAGTGATATCTACAACATGTGTTGTATGCAGGGAACTTAGGGTAAGCTATGCTTTTAATTAGGGCTGCTCACGGGTCGGTTTTGGCCGGGTGCGGGTCAAACCCGACCCGACCCGCACTTATGCGGTTGGGGAAAAATGGACCCGCAACCGCCCGCGATGCGGTTCGCGGTTTGTGCGGGCGGGTGCGGTTCGGTTTGCGGTTTAGTGTTTTTTTTTTTTTTTTTTTTAACTTAAGCAAATTTGATATTTTTTGTTACTTTCTAAACATTTTTTTTTTTAGAAGAGTTATAAATTAAATTACAAGATATACAATTCATGATCATAATAAATAGTCCACATGTTAGATAAGATAATATGGAACCATGCTTGAGGATAGTAATTAATCTTCCTCCTTAGCTTGCAAAAACAAACCCTTAAAAGTCAAACTAGTAACACTAATTTAAATATGCAAAAACAAACCCTTAAAAGTCAAACTAGTAACACTAATTTTAATAGTGGATTAATCTTCACTGTTTAGTTTTTAATATGCAATAATGTGATAATAGAATGACAATTCAAAATATCATATTTAACTGTGTCTACTAGACTAATGAAATATAATGATTTTTTTTATATATATATAAATAAAAATCAAACTAGTAACACTAATTTAAATATCATTAGATCATGATAATGTATATAAGTGCCCATATAATAAATTTTACTTTCATCCAAAATGTAAAAATAAAAATAATAACTAGTTATCTCCATCCATCCAAAATGCAAAAAATAATAATAATAACTAGTTATTTTTTCTTTAAAAAAAAAAGAAAAAAAAGATGCGGGTTGAGGGCGGGTCGGGTTCGACCCGAACCCGATCTTTTGCCAATTTCTTGACCCGCACCCGCCCGCCTACCTATATCGAAACCGCCCAAAGCACTGCGGGTAGGGTAGGGTCGGGCGGTTTGTGCGGGCGGGTGGGTTTGTTGCCCAGCCCTACTTTTAATGATCACTTATATCTTGAAAATCGTAGACGAATATCTTTCAAGAAAAGTATTTAAGAGACTCAAAATAAGGATCACTTATATGAGTGTGAAAGGGTCGCTTCTTTGAGAATTGATAAGGCAAAATTCTCTAAAGCACTCATAAAATAACAAGAGATGCCCAAGGCCAAAACGGGCACAACCGTGAGAACTAAACTGTATCTGGAGATATTCTATGTGAATTCTATTGTCTTGGCTTATACAAACAGATGAACAGTTCAAGGCATCACATCCACTGATTAGCTAGTAAGTCCGATAGGCTTTCACTAGGGAAGCCAAAAGCTACCTATCCCGATGCAGGGTATTTCCTTAGTGTACTTTCTCTTTGTCTGCATGTTGTTGCATGTCTTTTCCGTAAATTTCATTCATGTGGGGGATTGTTGGAAAATCTGAATTAAATTTACTTCATTCGTTGTCTCTTGACATAGAAGGGTGTGTTCTTTTGAAGGGTCACAACCTTTCTAAAGAGTCGTGGAGGAATTTATAAATTCTATCCCCCTCACTTCAATTTTAAAAAAAAATACAATTTTCTTTTTCACTTTGCATTTATTCTTCATATTTTCTGAGTCTAATTTTCCTATAAAATGAGTACATGCACAGCGAAGTTCGCTAGGCTTGCAATAGTAGTATTTCTAGTGCAAGATATTGATCGTTGTATCCAGGGAGATAGACGTCCATTGAATCCTAAGCAAAAGTGGGAGGACGAATCTGTCTTAAGGAAAGAGTATCACACATACTTGACTCGATCCGGTTTTATCTATTTATGTGTTATAAGTTTTGTTACGTTATTTTGTCAATTTATTTCAGTTTTGATTTTGCCCAAAAACCGTTTACATAATTTTAAATTATATTTTTCATATAGTTTAGTACTATTTTTCTAACACTTCTCAGTTGACAGACTGAACAATCTAGGGAACTCATTCCTAAGACTGATATTATTGAACCACCTATCCGTCCAAAACTAAATCCTCTCCCCATTCCCCATGATAATCTTGAAATTTTGAAAGAAGAACTCAACCACACCAATATTTGGTAAGGCTAATGATACAATATCCTTCCACACCTTAGATATCATGTCATCTTCGACTGGTGCTGGGATCCACCTTCCTCCAAAACCACCATATCTACTACAGATCACTTGTTTCCATAATGACTTATGCTCTCTACCATATCTCCACCACCATTTTAACATTAGACAAACATTAACAGCACTAAGACTTCTCACTCCCAACCCCCCTTGATCTTTACTTTTACACACGTCCTTCCACTTAACTAGATGAATTTTCTTTCAAATTTTAGACCCTCCGCACAAGAAGTTGGCTTGAATCCTATCAATTACTCTAGCCACACCAGCAGGCTTTTTAAAGATGGATAGAAAATTCATTGGTACACTTGACAAGACAGATTTATTTAGAATCAATCTATCTGCAAAGGACGAGAACCTCCTTTTCCAAGAAGCTAATTTCTTCTTAACATTTTCCACCACTGGTTGTCATGTACTTCTTCTCCTTGGGTTTGCCCCTAGAGGTAAGCCAAGATATGTAAGAGGTAATTTCTTACTGAGGCAATTTAGTTTTTTAGCAAACTCCTTAACTAACCCCTCTTCCATCCTAATTCCACAAACAATACTTTTATGAAAATTAATCTTTAGACCTAACATAACTTCGAAACATCTCAAAATTCTTTTAATCATAATAATTTCATCCCAATTGGAAGATGGATTGATAGGTCAAACTTATAGCATCGACCAAACTTCAACAATTAATACGACATATATTTGCAGAATTCAGACTATTTGGTTCAATCTAATAATAGCAAAACTCTCTGCATAGAACTCTTGCACATTATTAAGAAGTCAATGATTCAAAATAACAAAGGTAAGATTCCATGATCCCTCCAATATACCCAAAAAAACAAAAAAGAAAAATTAATTGCTCCAGTTAGTTTATTCTCATATAAAGGAACAAACATTATGTTTGGTTTGGTTTTGGGAGAGTAGTTTTTAAAAATTGTTTTGGGGAGAGAGTTTAAAAAAAAAAATTGGTTTGTTTGGTTGTGTATTTTAAAAGTAGTTTTGGAGTTTAGGAACTTGGAATGATTTAATATTTTGTTATAATTGAGTAGATGTGTGTGAGAAAAAAAAATGATTGAGAAGGAGAGAGGAGAAAGAAAAAGTGATTGATTAATAAGTAAGAGAGAGAAAGCAATTTTGAAAATAATTTTGAAAAATTTGCAAACCAAACAAATTTTTTAAAATTTTTTTCCCAAAATCACTGTAGAAATCCAAACCAAACATACTCTAAATTTCGGTTCTTGAACAAAACAAACTATTGGTTATGTGCATAAAGAAACAATTGAGATCAACCAAGGAGAACTCTTAAAATTGAAGAACCATTACCAGTATCAGAGTAATCAAAATAACCATATAACTTGACTATACAAGAATTATCTGCACTGATCATCACTGACATAGAAAATATCAAACCACTGAGTCTGCAGAGAATTTACAACTGGTCTAAAGTCTTATTTCTTTTTCATTTTTTTATAATCTTTTTCAGGTCTTATGCACGCCCATGTCTTAAAGTCATCCAAACGTGTTCTCGCCACTGTAGCTCATGTAAAGGAAACCATCTTCATCCCTATTTTCCTCATAAATTGCTGACATCATAGCCGCTGCAACAAGTCAAACATTACTTTAGATTTTATTGTTGTTTTGTTGAGAAAACTCAAGAAAAACAGGGATGGGAAGAATAATAGTTATAAAAGATAGATGTTAAATAAATCTCACCAGTGGGAGGCAAAATATTCTTCACAAAAATGAAGATAGCCTTTTCAGGACTGGGCTTAATCCTCTTTCGCACCACGTACACAAACTGACCGACGGGATTGATGTGGGACCAAGTATCTACACATTCTAACCAAGTATCTACACATCCCAAAGAAAGAGATTTCATATTAGGATTCACAAACATAAAGTTCATACTTCAGCTTCTTGGTGGAAACTGTGTGGCTCCATACTTTCCATCCGTGACATTAGCGCCATCCAAATAATATCTATCTATCTATCAATCTATCTATCCATCCTATTATAAAGTGAACATCTATCATGGTGCCTTGTAATCTTTATTTATTATGCTATCACCTGTCTATTTTTTATTTGAAATAAAAAAAAATTAGATAGATAAGAGGATTTGAACCTTAGATTTATGTCAAATAAATAAAATTTTAATCACTTAACTAGCACACAATATATGATAAATATTTATTTTATTTTTATTTTTATTTATTTGAATTGCACATGTATCGCGTGTGCCAATCGCTAGTATATATATATTCAAACAGATATGACACATGAATAAAAATCTTTGAAATTAGAGCTGGATCAACTCACGAGATTAAAAAATTTATAGAATTTGTGCATTTTCATATAATCAAGTTAGAGCATTATATACCTATGATTGTTTTGGGCTTTCGATTTTGTTCACCTATTTTATCAAAATCCATCATTGAACTCAACTAATTGACAGTGAAGTGGAGGACTAAAAAACAAAAAATTTACTTAACAAAATTTAAAATAACAATATAATTCTAGTAACACATAGCTCCACAGAATTCATGAGGTAGGTCCATATATAAAACCAACTCACTTGTCTCATATACGTGTTTCATTTTGTAGAATAATTTTGGGTTCCTATCATTTTTCTTAAAATAATGAGAAGTGTTATTTTAACTAAAAAATTATAACAATGTTAGGGATTTTAAAAATTTTATTATAATTTTAGATAAATTATCAATAAATTCTAATAGTTAAACTTAATTTATATCAAATCTTATTGAAAATAAGTTCAAATAAAGTCGTCACTAAAAATAATTTTTTTTGATAATTTTTTACATATGTCGCTAAAAATTGACAATTAGTGACTTTTTTGTCATGATTTTTATAAATTGTCGCTAAAACTTACAATTAGTGACTTTTTTATGACGAATTTTTCAAACTGCCGCTGAAAGTTGAAAATTAGCGACTTTGATTTTGACGATTTTTTTAAACTATCATTAAAATTTATAATTAGTGACATTTTTTGTGACAAAATTTTCAAACTATCACTAAAAATTAAAAATTAGTGACTATTTTTAATAGTATTTACTGAAAAACGTCATTAATTCTCACAAGATCTATTAGACAATAAGTCTACCTATTATGACCTATACGTAAGTTTTCCTAATTTTTTTAATCAAACACTCACATGAATGTGGGGTCCCCACTCATGTAAGTCCCACGAGCAATACTAGGGACCCAACAAAATTATTAAATTTTGGATTAATTACACTTTTACCCCCTAAACTATCATCATTTTGTTATGTAGTCCTTAAACTATTAATTTTGTCTTGTTGGTGCCTAAACTATCACATTTTGATTCTATTTAGTCCAAATGGTAGATGGTGCCAGTTTTGAATCTCCCGTGCAGGCCACGTTTTCACCTTTGCCATTAACAATTTGAATGCCATTTACCATTTGAATTAAACAAAATCAAAATGTGACAGTTTAGGGACCAATAAGACAAAATTAATAGTTTAACGATTACATAAACAAAATGGTGATAGTTTAAGAGGTAAAAGTTTAATAACCCTTAAATTTTTTACCAAACCACATGGGTGTTCCACTTGTGGGTCCCACACGCATGTGAGTGTTTGGTAAAAAAATTAATAATTTTGTTGAGGTCTCTATAGCACCCCATACCAATGTGAGTGTTTAGTAAAAAATTTGATAAAACTCATGGAGTAGCATTTTTCAGAAAATTAAATTTATTTTTTTAATTTAATAATGTAACAATCTATTCATTTGTTGTCTAATTATTAATTAATCGTCTTTCTTAAGTAAGTTTATAAAGTGAATTTGAATATTATTTTTTAAAAACAATTATAAATTTTGTAAGAGGGCTATTGAAATACATGAATGCCTATGAAAATAATCAATAAATTGATGAGTAAATAATAAGAGAGATTTAAACGTGAATGCTCATAAACATGGAAATTAAAGATTGTTACAATTACGTAAAAGGAGTGTGAACAGGATGGGAATTGTGATTAATGCCCTCATCAAACTTGGCCCTTATCAACTTACCTAATCACACCCAACAAATTCACATGCCCTCTCTCTCTCTCTCTCTCTCTCTCTCTCTCTCTCTCTCTGGGTTAAAGGGGTTTAAAGCTTCTTTTCTTTTTACATAGATTCAAGGTATGTTAAATCTGTGATTGATGTGGGTAGAGAAATTTTATAGGCTATAAATTTTCATCTTTATTTACTTCTCTTATCTTTCCTTTTCTTTTTCTTTTTTTTTTCTCCTTCTTATTCTTCTAAATCTTCTGTTGTTTGTAACACGAATTTTAAAACAAATTTTAATTGCTCTAAATTTATCTTGATGTCATTCTAGTTGTGTTTCATGATCTCTCATTACACACTGTCATTTTTGTAAATAAAAATCATCTCTATTCGTGTTTTGTTTTAAAATCTGTACAGAATTTCTGTATTAATTTTCTGTTTGTATATACAATCTCAGTGAATTGCTTAATATTTGTGCTCTTTTTTAAGCCACAATATATTCGGAAAAAATTATGATGTAATTGTAGGAAACTATATGCTTAATTTTTGTTGTGTAGATATGGGAAGTAAGGCACCAACCTGGGCTGATCAATGGGGTGGCATCGACGACGATGACGACAAGCCCATGAATAGCAGTAAGAAGGGAAGGCTAGGCGGTGGCAGCAGCAAGAAGATGGAAGAGGTGAAGACGGCAGCTTCAGCGGGGTTCGACAAGGCCAAGGCGGCTGCAGTGGTGGGAGCCCAGAAGGTGAAGAGTGGAACCTCTGTGGGAATCAAATGGGTCAAAAACCAGTACCACAAAAAATGCTCTTCTACTAAATGACCATGCTCATGTTTTTTTGTTACACCTCCAAAATAAATTAAGGCAAGAATTAAAAGTCTAGGACTTTACTTTTTCTGCTGAATTGAATTGAATGACTACTTAAATTCTATTTTGATCCATTATGTAAATTTAAATTGCCATCTATTTTTTGCTCTAGAACTTGTCATTCTGCTATATGATCGTGATTATGATTATAAACCCCTTTTGAAACTTGGTGTGAGAGTATATGTAAGGATGGTTTGGGAGAGGGTTGGATTAAAATAGTTCACTAAAAATTAAAATAAATTAAAATAGTTAGTAAAATAAAATATTACATTCAATTTATAATTATTTATTTTTTTCTCATAACCATCAAATTAACTATAAGAAAAAAGTCAACCAACTTTTTAAATACAACTATTTTAGTCAGACTGTAATAACAAAAAAATTAAATAGTCAACTAAAATAGTTAACTTTTCAAACAAGGTATAAATTTTGAACATACTCTAATTAGGTTATTTGGTTGGGTTAGGCTTAAAGCTGTTGGGTTAGGCTTAGAGCTGTTAAAACCAATTGTTGGGTTAGGTTAGAGCTGTCAGAATCAATTTAAGGGGTTATTTGGAGTATTCTAAATAAGTGCACTTATTAATTTTTTGGTGAAAAAAATAGATAGAAAAAAGATATGTGTTTGGAATAATTTTTTATCTTTTTACAAAAAATGTGTATTAAAATATTATATAAAATAGCAAAATTGCATTATTACCCCTATGTCCTAGACTCAGTCACTGTTGATTGAAGGACAGTACAGATTGCCTTGTAAATGATGATAACTTCAGGACATATATATATAGTATGAGGCTTCATGGGTACTGTTGGGCTCGTGGGGGCCCACCACGGGTCCCGTTTTGATAATTCGAACCGAGCAATGTGTAGAACTCGTCAAATACTATATGTCTGTAAAAAATCACGTTGATCAAATAACGATAGTTATGTGATCAAAACAGTTTTGTATGAAAAAAAAATAGACGATGAAAAATAAACAGCTGACAAAAATCTGATTTGATCACATAGTTATCCATATCCGATTAACATAATTTTTTACAATCATATAGTATTCGACGAGTTTTACACATTAAATAGTTCGAATTATCGAAATGAAACCCATAGTGGGCCTTTAGGGCCCAACAGTACTCTCCAACTTAATGAATATATATATATATCTAATTTGTGATTTGTACAATCACAATGTATGTGTGTAATTTTTCCCATCACTTCAGTACCATCACCTGTGTAAAGTTGGATTGTACTTTTTTGTGTAATTTATTTTTTTTTTTTTTTTAATTTGTGAATAGTGATAACTTTTTTACTTTTTTAGTAATTTTTTGACTTTTTACCTTTTTTATAACATGTCAAACCAGCCCTAAGAGCATCTGTATCAAACTAGCTAAACTCATTTTTTAGCTAGATTAGTGGTACTATTCATCAAAAATGGTCCGAATGAGTCTCGTTATTGTTCATCGTTAATATACAAGCACTACAGTAACTCGCTACAACAAGCGAGATACTGTTCATCGTTAATTGTGTGTTACTGGACATTCGGCCAGTCAACGGCAAATATTTTTTTTTATATACATTTCCTCCAGTTTTACCTTTTGTAAAACATAAAAGTTGTTTGGTTCATAACTCATCAATTTAATTATAAAAAAAAAAGAAAAGAATAACAAATATTTTAATAAGATTGAGTTAAAATAGAGAGTTTGATGCAGTGGGTGACTAACTAAAATAGAAAAATAGCCTTTTAAATTATAATTTAACTAAATTTTGAAGAGGTTGATACTGATGCTCTAAGTCTTCGTTGGCAGTTGGATTAACTTCTTAACTTTTTGATTCAGGCTAAAAAATTTATTTGAGCTGACATTTTACATCTTTTTGATATCTGATAGAAAAAAAGTGGATTAATTGTATTTTGAATGTAACATTTTTTTATTAATTTTTTAATCTTTTTTATTTTTTTATTTTTTTATTTTTTTTACAAATTTAGCCCAAAAACCAACCCACCCCAATTTCCAAACGACACCTAAATTTCAATTTGGCATCTTGGACGCATGTTTGATTGTGTTTTAGTTCTATGTTTTCATTTTTGAAAAAATACAAAATATTCATTTGACAAACTTTTTCTGAAAACTAATTTCAAGAATGTTTTTTCTAAAAACAACTCACTTTTTCATGTTATAAAGAATTTAAAACCATTTTAAGATTTTTTTAACCAATTCCCTCATTAACCCCTTTAAAAAAACACCAAAAAAAGTTAATTTTACAATTTTTGAAACTTAATTTTGCAGAAAAATGAAAATGATGGGTCTCCAAATTTTTAATTATTTTGTTTCTAAAACTACCCCAAAAAAAAAAAAACCACAATGAGCTATGACGAAGAAGTACCTAGTCATTTCCCATGTTTCAAAGTTCTAAATTCTAATCACTCAATACATAAGGGTGTTTTGAAAGATAGTTAAAAATTAACTTTTTAATTTTTTTTGAAAAAACGTGTAAAAAATATAAGAAATAATAATATGATTCAAAATAAATTAAAAGATAAAAAGTAACTTTTAACCCACTTTTCAAAAGAAGTCAGAGTCCAAAAACTTACAACTGAGATAGAAGACCGATCGATGGGTCAAACTTGTAGCATCGACCAAACTTCAACAATTAATATGGCATACATTTGCAGAACTCAGACTATTTGATTCAATCTAGTAACACATTATTAGGAAGTCAATGATTCAAAATATCAAAGGTAAGATTCCATGATCCCTCCAATATACCCAAAAAACAAAAAAGAAAAATTAAAATTGCTCCAGTTAATTCATTAACAAACATTAAATTTCGGTTCTCAAACAAAACAAACTATTGGTTATGTGCATAAAGAAACAATTGAGATCAACCAGTGAGGACTCTTAAAATATTAGAACCATTACCAGTATCTGAGTAATCAAAATAACAACCATATAACTTGACTATACAAGAATTATCTGCACTGATCATCATTGACATAGAAAATATCAAACCACTGAGTCTGCAGAGAATTTACAACTGATCTAAAGTCTCATTTCTTTTTCATTTTTTTATAATCTTTTTCAGGTCTTATGCACACCCATGTCTTAAAGTCATCCAAACGTGTTCTCGCCACTGTAGCTCATGTAAAGGAAACCATCTTCATCCTTATTTTCCTCATAAATTGCTGACATCATAGCCGCTGCAACAAGTCAAACATTACTTCAGATTTCATTTTTGTTTTGTTGAGAAAACTGAAGAAAAACAGGGATGGGAAGAAAAATATTTATAAAAGATAGATGTTAAATCTCACCAGTGGGAGGCAAAATATTCTTCACAAAAATGAAGATAGCCTTTTCAGGACTGAGTTCAATCCTCTTTCGCACCACGTACACAAACTGACCGACAGTCAGATCTGCAGGAACCAAGTATCTACTAATTATTTTATGGTTTCTTCTATAATGAATTGTCTTATGAGGGTGGGATTTCATGTTTTATGCAATATGTTTTGTTTTTCTTTTCAGTAGGGTATTTTGTAAATTTGAACATGGGTGGCGCAATTGTCTGCTAGTTTTTTTTATTCAAATACAATTATTATTTATGTAAGAATTAATGGGCTTATTTGAGGTAATTGTTTTCATATTAATGTCTGTATTGATTGAAGTTTTAATCCTTCTAGTCTCCAATTGTCTGCTAGTTTGTGATTCAGGTACAATTATTATTTGAGTGCTCTTTATTCTGAATTTTTTACGGTAGAGGGTACTGACACTGAGTACATTTTGCTGTTAAGAATATTTTGTTTTTATCCTCAATTATCAATTTTTTGAAGTCTCACTTTCTAGTCTAAGATATATGTAATTTACAGATATTGCACTTGTGAAAGAGTATTGGCTAATTGAGTGGGTCCAATTGAGTTTTAGTATCAGAGTCAGCTCAAAATACTTTTTTTTTTTCTCTCCCCCCGTTAATGGTTCTTTGTCATAATTTTACTTCTTGCTCTTTGATTTATTAGTTTTTGCTTGGTTTGTTCATCTTGACTATCAAAGTAATCATTGTCAAGTGAATGTGCATGGAAGCAGATCAATGGAGTTGTAGTATTAGTTTGAGCTGAAAGTTCATCAGTTCTTTGTCACTTATCTAGGTTGTGATCTATACTTATTAGTCTTTTGAATGGGTTTGTTTCAATATTTAAATTTGGTTGTTTACTAAGTATCTTTGCATGCTGGTGCTCTAATTGATTTGCTTGGCCAGGAAGTGACCGGTCAGACCAGGATGCTCGGTCCGAGGATTGTCGAGACCAGACAGACCGAGAGGCCGGCGCTCGGAAAGGCGCGGTCAGCCGAGGTAGTTGACTGACCGGCGAGAAGGCCGACCAAAGGAGGAGCCCGGGTTAAGCTTTGCCGAGATGCCGCCTAGCCCGGTCCTTCATTTGGTTATCCGGTTAGGCGCTTAAGGTATGAAGCATGGTATGACCGAGGTAGGGCAGCTCGGCTGCCGAGCTCCAGCTATGCTGACAGGCATTTGAGAGCAGGTGATGAACGACATGGTTTATGCTGACAGATGGGATAGCAGAGCCACGTGTCAGGAGATGACAGGGAGTAGATATGGGGCTCAGAAGGTATATAAGCATGTCTGCGCCCCCCATACGCGATACATGAACACATCTGTAAGGATTTTTTACACTAAAACACTCTCTCCCTTCTCTCTATTCCCTCTAAGGTGTGTGCTAACTTGACCGTCGGAGGGTTTTTCCGGCCACACACCGCCGGGTAGCTCACCATTACTTGCTCGCAGGTGATCGGACATCGACGGAGCTCGGAAGAAAGGAATACGGGCACGCCGGAATATTTGCTCCCCGTACAATGACTTAACAAAATTAGGGTCACTACAATATACACACCTCAAAAGAATCTCGTCCCGAGATTCGATAGGAAAGAATAGTAAAGAAAAAGCTCCGGGTGCAATTCTTGACACTAAGTCAATGCACAATTCTACTACCCGTCGGGGTGGAGGCCTATGTGTCTCCTGAAATGTACCATCAAACTCACATACCATATCTATCTCACTAATATTCTGCTTAGAGATTTCTACCGAGCACAGAAGACTTGTCCTCACTAACACTCTTCTACCGCCATAAGTGTGGATAAGCCGTGACCTACTAGTAATATTTATATTTATACTCCTTCTAGCACAATCTAGAGTTACAAAATGCTTTCGCAGGCAATCCATACCCAAAATAATTACAAACCCCACAAACCCTAACATAATTAGGTCCGCATACAAAACTCTGCTCGCAAGGTCAATCTCAAAATCTTTACACATCTCATAAAGAGTAGCTGCCCCTTCTAAAGGGGTCTCAACACGAATAGGTCTAGACAAAGAGTTAGTTACAAGGTGTTCTCTTTCTACAAACTGCCTAGATATGAAACAATGAGAGATACCAGTATCAAAAAAAAAAATACTCTAATGGGTTCTAAAAAAAAATTTAAAGATACCTTCTAGCCATCACCTTCAAGTTAAACACACAAAAAGAATTTGTTAATAAATACTTAGAATAAACTCAACCACCAAACTAAACCAGCTAACCCATGTTTCCACAATCCAAGGATCACCTAAACACTCACAAGTCTAGGGTAACCTAGAGCTCTGATACCAAACTGTCACGCCCCAAAATTTGGACAATTAAATATTAAATTAGGACTAAACCCCAATTAATATTCCATCATCCAAATCCTAGGGGTGAAAAAAAAAAAAAAAAACTAAAACGCCAACCAAACCTAAATACATAAATTAATATCAACCCTAAGCTCAAGAAAAATAAAAGAACTCCAAACGACATGTCCTATGATCACAGTTAAAATTAATCAATCATCTAAAAAATCCCAATCCTTACATACCCAACTAATTAAAATTATTGCAATCAATTAATCATCTAAAAATCCTAAACCTTACATATACTTCTAATTCACATAATTAAAATTAATCAATCATCTAAAAAAATCATAAACCTTACATACCCAATCAATCAAAACAATTAAAATCAATCTGTCATTTTCATATCAATACAAAAATCAAATTAATATTAAATAAATACAAATAAATAAATATAACGAATCAAATATAAACAAAGAAAAGTGAATTTTGTACTCACAATTATTTTTGATGATTGAAACAATATCTAGAAGATTAATTGAATCACCAAAGTAAAACCCTAACCCCCTTTCTTTCTTTCTTTTTTCTTTTTCTTTTTCTTTCTTTTCTTTCCACGCCACACACACTCACACAGAGAGCACTCTCTCTTTTTTTCTTGGATGATCAATCTCCCTCTCTCTCTCTCTTGGCCTTGCCGCCGCCCAATACTTCTCTTTTCTTTCTTTTGTTTATAACCTAATAATTATTATATTATAATATAACCTAATCTCATTCTAACCCTAATAAATTATTATAATATACTATATTATGTAATACACATAATTATAATATATATAAAAATAAAATAATATATATATATATATATAAAGATCTTGTTAGTTTTCCACCTCACCGAGAGATAGAGTTCTCTATTGATTTAGTGCCCGGCACGGCGCCGATTTCTATGGCACCTTTTATTAATTAATTGAATTAATTGAATATAAATATATGACATTAACTAAACAACAATAAATATATAAATATATAAATATAAATATCATAACCAAAAATAAATATATAAATATATGAATTAATTGAATAACACAATAAATTTATTAATTACAACCTTAAATTCGTTAAATATCACATTAACTAAACAACACATTAAATTCTCATGTAAACCGCACAATTAATAAAGTCAAAAAAAATAAAATAAGATAATAATAATCATAATAATAATAAATAATGACTTAACAAAATTAGGGTCGCTACATTAATCACTCACCTATGAAAATGTTGATAATTTATCTGTTTGATAAATGTGTTATCTGTTTATAAATAATTGTTTTGGGCTATCAGTGGAGGATAGTCTTGATTGTTATAGACACTGCATGATGATTAAGCAAACTGAAATCAATCACCTAGAATATGCCATTGAATATGACGGTTGGAATAACATATTGAATATGTGCATTAAATGATCATTGTATATGATAAAGTGTTTAAATACATTGCATATGTATCTTTGTTTGGGAGGAGATAGGGGATGTACTCCATGGTTTTGGAGGAGATAAGGGATGTACTCCATTGTTTGGGAGGAGATAGGGGATGGACTTCATTGATAATTAAGTTGGCCGGAGTGTCCAGGGTGAAAGTCCCGAAACCTTATATACATCTGAATGATGTTGATGAATTGAAGCGTGGTCTCTATGAGTTGTAGTCTCATTTGAAATTGTTGATGATAGAAGTGTTGATAATATGAGTTGTAGTCTCATTTGAATTGTTTGGATAAATAACGTACGATGTTGTTGATTTGATTGAGATAAAGAAATGTGAATGAATTGAAAACACGGTTGTAAATGTAAGTGGATGTATGGAAATCTATGTTGATTGATTATGGAAAGGGGTTGAGATAGTTTCGAATTGTTAAACATTTATCGAATGCTAATGTTTTAGTTATTTCTCATATTATGTTTAGCGTATCTCTACTGGACTTCGGCTCACCCTATATGGGACATCATTTTCAGGTTCATGTGATATGCCGCCTCTAATGACCTTGCTTGGATAGTTTAGAGGCTGCAGGCTTTCTTTTGTTGTTACATTTATGTATTACATGTTTTTATTTCTAAGCCAAGGGCTTAAATTGTAAAAGGGCTTCTGACCCTCTTTTGTTGTAACCAAGTGTTGACTTGGAAGGTTGTGAGCCCGTAGGGCTTTTACGTTTGTTGTCAACATATAATACCTTTGTAGAAAATACTCTGATGAATGGAAATATATATCTCTTCTATGATTTTGGCATCTTATAAATGATTAATTTATGTATTATTTTGAGGGCGTTACACACACACTCTCTCTCTCTCTCTTTTAAGTTTGGCAGTTGATTGTTGAGAGAAAGAGAAAAATGAAGTTTGAATCTTATGCATTGTTGTTTGGTATGTGAGAAAAAAGAAGAAAAAGGAAATTGAAAGTTTTAACTTTCTTCACCGTTTCATTGCTTATAAAACATATAATTAAAAATAAATAAATAAATAGAACTTTTGAATGGAAAGTATGGAAAAATGGGTTAAGGAAATATATTTGTGATTAAATAAGCTACTGTGTAGTACTCATGGGAGTAAATAAGCTACTGTGTAGTATAATTTTTATGAGAGTATTGAAAAAGGCAATTGTAATTATATAGATAAGACAAAAGATATTTGTAATTATCATTAATTTATGTATTATTTTGAGGGTGTTACACACACACACACTCTCTCTCTCTCTTTTAAGTTTGGCAGTTGATTGTTGAGAGAAAGAGAAAAATGAAGTTTGAATCTTATGCATTGTTGTTTGGAATGTGAGAAAAAAGAAGGAAAAGGAAATTGAAAGTTTTAACTTTCTTCACCGTTTCATTGCTTATAAAACATAAAATTAAAAATAAATAAATAAATAGAACTTTTGAATGGAAAGTATGGAAAAATGGGTTAAGGAAATATATTTGTGATTAAATAAGCTACTGTGTAGTACTCACGGGAGTAAATAAGCTACTGTGTAGTACTCATGGGAGTAAATAAGCTACTGTGTAGTATAATTTTTATGAGAGTATTGAAAAAGGCAAT